GTCAATTTGTAGTAAAGCATCAGAGACTGGAGTACTTTGGGTTGCGAGCAACCGCGCTGAGGTGTGATGTCGACATCGAGACTCCGAGTCTGAGAGAGTTGGAACTGGACGTTGATGAAACTGGATCAAAGCCTCGTGATGAAGCTGGATCAAAGCCAAAAAAAAACGTTGAATGAAGGCACAGAGGGAGAATATGCACACGGAGAGAACTGGAGAGTTTTTTTATTGATTGGGATGCTGCTAAAACTTAAAACAATCACTCGCTTTAAATAAGAGAAAAAGCTTAACAGACTCAAAACCAACCTATCCTAAAAATAAGATCAAATCCCGTAACCAACTCATGAATCCCGCAACCAATTCATGCTGTTGCTTGACCGCTTCTCTCGGCCCGGCCACGTCATGATTATTCCAACATGCTCCCCCCTAATCTTGACGTGGGGAAGCCGGATCTTTGACGCCAATATGCTCGCACATCTCCTTGAATTTGATTCTAGCAAGTGCCTTAGTCAGAATATCAGCACGCTGTTCTTCAGTACTCACATGCTTGACAACGATCAGTTCCTTTTCCACGCACTCTCGAATGAAGTGGAAACGAGTATCGATGTGCTTACTGCGTCCATGGAACACTGGATTCTTCATTAAAGCTATTGCAGACTTGTTGTCGACATAAAGAGTGACTGGCTTGGGCTTACAACTAGTCACCTCGCTGATCAAACTCCTCAGCCACAGTCCCTGACAAGCTGCTGCAGTTGCTGCCATGAACTCGGCTTCACATGAGGATAATGCCACAGTTCTCTGCTTCTGAGATGCCCAAGTGATCAGATTCTCGCCGAGGTAGAATGCCATGCCACTAGTACTTCTTCTGTCATCGACATCCCCGGCTAGATTGCTATCAGTAAATCCGACCAACTCCTCAACTTCATGTCCTTTTCCATACACAAGCCCGTAGCTAATGGTTCCCTTCACATACCTTAGGATTTGCTTGACCGCCTGGTGATGCATGGTAGTAGGCCTCTCCATATACCGACTCACCAACCCGACGGAATAAGAGAGATCCGGACGGGTGTGAGTCAAGTACCTCAAGCATCCGATGACGCGCCTGTATTCCGTTGGATTCACCAATGTTCCATTAACATCCTTTCCGAGTTGCAGCTTTGGTTCCATGGGGTATTTTGTCGGGTTGCATTCGCTCATTCCGAATTGCATTAGTATCTTCTTGGCATAGGCCGACTGTCTTAGTGTGACACAGTCCCTTCTCTGGTCCACCTCGATTCCAAGGTAGTAGGAGAGTAATCCAAGGTCACTCATCTCAAACTCCTCCATCATTTGCTGCTTAAACCCCTTTATCTCATCCACACTCGTGCCGGTGATAATCAAGTCATCAACATACACTCCGACAATGAGTGTGTCAGCTCCATTGCTTCTTGTGTACACCGCCTGTTCCTGTGAACATCTCACGAACCCAAGGCCTTTCAAACTCTGGTCCAATCGTTTGTTCCATGCCCTTGGTGCTTGACGAAGGCCGTAGAGGGCTTTGGACAACTTGTACACCTTGTGCTCTTGGTTCTTCACGATGAAGCCTTCAGGTTGGGCAACATACACTTCTTCTTGGAGATCACCATTTAGAAATGCTGATTTGACGTCCAAATGGTGCACCTCCCATCCTCGCTGAGCCGAAAGGGCAATGATCAACCTGACGGTGTCAAGTCTGGCCACCGGTGCGAAGACCTCCTCAAAATCAACTCCTTGCTGTTGAGCGTACCCCTTTGCCACAAGTCTTGCTTTGTGCTTGAGGGTGTTGCCTTCGCTGTCCTTCTTCAACTTGTATACCCATTTTAGTCCAATGAGTTTGTGACCGGGTGGCAGCTCGGTGAGCACCCATGTCTTGTTCTTCTCGATGGCCTCCAGTTCTCTCTTCATGGCTTCCTCCCACTCTTTCACATTTGCGGCTTCATGATAGGTTGCTGGCTCCTCGGCAGCTAGCAATAATAGCTCATCGTCACGGGTCTCTTCATAAATGTCAGCAAGTGAACGATATTTCTCAGTCCAATCATCAGTAGACGAGGAAGCAGAACTCCCTGGAGATCCCTGGACAGTTGACGGTGAGGCTGGAGCTGACGCGGCCGGCGGACTCGGAGATGATGACGATGCCGCACCCTGTGTCAATGACTCCGTGGGAACGCCAGGTGTAAAGGGCGTCTGCTCCCCAGCTTCCGTGTGACTGACTGCTGCTCTGTCACCATCAATGGGCTCCTCGACGGTGAACGTGACCCAAGCCTGTGGGTCATTTTTCTCAGCTTCACTCCATTCCCAGCTTCTTTCTTCCTCAAAGACAACATCACGACTCACGTGAATCTTGCCGTGTCGGGGATCATACATCCTGTGCGCCTTGCTTCCCGCTTCTACTCCAAGGTACACCATGGGAATGCTGCGGTCGTCGAGCTTCTTTGTATGTACGTTCGGTACCTTGACATGTGCAGTGCACCCAAAAACCCTTAGGTGCTCCAGATGAGGCTTCTTGCCCGTCCATGCCTCATAGGGAGTTGTGCTAGCCAAGGCTTTCGTCGGTACTCGATTGAGTATGTAGACCGCATGCCTCACCGCCTCCCCCCACATCTTTGCAGGCATACGCATGCTCTTCAGTAAGCTCCTTGCCATTTCTAGGACAGTACGATTTCTTCGTTCAACAACGCCATTTTGTTGTGGCGTGTATGGCGCTGTCAAGTGCCGCTGGATGCCTTCTTCTTCACACAAAGTCGTGAACTGTTGAGACAAGAACTCGCCACCGCGATCTGTCCTCAACACCTTTATCTTGTGCTCAACCTCCTTCTCGATCAATGCCTTGAACTTCTTGAACGCGCCAAATGCTTCACTCTTCAGCTTGATTATGTACACCCACATCATTCGGCTATAGATGTACACCCACATCATCCGGCTATAGTCGTCAACAAGGAGGAGGAAATATCTATTGCCGGCGGGTGTCTCTGGAGTTATTGGTCCACACAGATCTGCGTGTACCAATTGCAGCGGGTGTTCGGCTCTGAAGTTCGCCTGGGAGGGGAAGGCATTCCTCGCTTGCTTGGCCACAAGACATCCCTCGCAAATCTGCGTAGGATGATCAATCTTAGGGACCCCGTGTGCCATCTCTCGATCTCCCATCATCTTGAGTGCCTGGAAGCTCACGTGCCCTAGCCTCGCATGCCACAACCAAGCTGGATCCTCCATGCTTGCTGTCAAACAAACAGGTTCACAAGTTTCCAACAAAACTTTGTAGAGCCTGTTGGGGGATCTCTTGACATTGAACAACAATTTCCCATTCCTGTCATATATCCTCAGAAATGCTCCACACATAACAGCCCTACTTCCATCTTCAGAGAGCTGGCCAAGACTTATAATATTGCTACAAAGACTTGGTATGAAATATACCTCCGGTAGTAGTCGTTGTTCGCCATTCTTGCATTGAAATAGGATGGATCCCTTCCCTTTGATTTGCACTGTCGAGCCATCGCCAAACTTCACCTGCCCGTGGATGCTCTCATCTAGGTGCTTGAACATAGACCGCTGGCCTGTCATGTGGTTGCTGGCCCCATTGTCCAGGTACCACACGTCAGACCCGACCGTTTCCTTCTCATCTGTCTGCAGCTTCGGAATAACATTCTTCTCATTCAACAACACCATGTTGCGCGCGCCCCCTGCGCACTCGGACAAGAGTAGTGCTGGCTCTTCATCTAGAACACGGGTGAGATTGGTCTCCTCGTCTCGGTGCTTACTGCGACACTCCGAAGCATAGTGCCCGAAGTTGTTGCAGTTGAAACACTTGATCATGCTCTTGTCTCGGCCTCCTTCACGACCTCCGTTTGTTCCCTGGCGAGTACTGGTGCTACTGCCGTGACCTCCATTGCCGCGGCCTCGGCCACGACCACGGCCGCGTGAGTAACCACGCCCATGCCCGCGGTTGTTTTGAGAAAAAAATTCCTTTCCCCGTGATGACTTTGCGTCGGGTTTAGGATCCCCTCTTATTAGTAGCGCCTGTTCGTGCCGGTCGTCGTAGTCACGGTAGCGCTCCTCATGTGCCTTTAGAGCACCAATCACCTCGTCCACCTGCATGGTCTTGAGATCGCCGAACTGCTCCATAGTCGCGGCGATCTGCAAGAACTTTGGTGGCACACAACGGAGAAGTTTCTTCACCACATGGCTCTCCTCCATTGTCTCCCCAAGAGAACGTATTTGGTTCACAAGGGTAGTGAGTTTTGTAGCAAACTCATCCACTGACTGCGCATCGCCCATGCGCAGATTCTCAAACTCCCACCGAAGTGCCTGGAGTTTGACTTCTTTCACACGTTCCACACCAACGTGCATGGTTCTGAGTGCCTCCCAAACCTCACGGGCAGTCTCCTTGCCCGCGACTTGAAGCATTGTCTCCTCCGGGATCGCCTGGTAGATGACGGCGAGCGCCATCTGATCCTTCTTCTCGTCCACCGATTCAGCATCGCCGGTGGCCTCGATTGCCGCCCAAACCCCTTGGGCGCGCATGTTGGCCTTCATCTTCATTACCCACGCCGGGTAATTCGACTTCGACAGCATCGGGTACTTGAGGGTTACCGAGCCCTCCCTTGCTGTTACTGTGTCAGTGAGCTCCTCGCTCCCACTCTGGGATTTGCTCGACGACGGCATCTGCTTCGGCATACTGGCTCTGATACCACGTGATGAAACTGGATCAAAGCCTCGTGATGAAGCTGGATCAAAGCCAAAAAAAAACGTTGAATGAAGGCACAGAGGGAGAATATGCACACGGAGAGAACTGGAGAGTTTTTTTTATTGATTGGGATGCTGCTAAAACTTAAAACAATCACTCGCTTTAAATAAGAGAAAAAGCTTAACAGACTCAAAACCAACCTATCCTAAAAATAAGATCAAATCCCGTAACCAACTCATGAATCCCGCAACCAATTCATGCTGTTGCTTGACCGCTTCTCTCGGCCCGGCCACGTCATGATTATTCCAACAGACGTTAGATATTGTACGAGGAGTATCAGGGTTTCAGCTCCGATGGTGAGGAAGTCGAGGGTTTGTATTCCAGGGAGAGATTTGTCGTGGTCGCTGAGAGATCTTCTCGCTGGGATTGGGAGCACTGAGGAGCTTCAACTGGGTCCTGAAGTGGTTCAGGTTGGTGAACCTCCTTGTATTAATTCTTTAATCAGTTCCATAGGGTTTTTAACTTTTTACAACTTTCGTGCTTATACAGCTGTTGGTATTTGGCTACGATTTTGGTATCAGATTTAATTAATTAGTAGCTAGATGAGGACTACGTGCATTCTTCAAACAGAAATAGATGGGAAAGGAGTGGCCCCAATGTGCAGCATCAACATTATCTTACATAGAGAACATTAATTATGTCCTTGCTAGGTTGTTAGTTGTGTAGTTTAAGTTCATATATACAACCAAAAATCAGATCTAAAATCACCTTAAAGTTGACAATGTTCCGTTACGAGACATCGCCTCCATGATATATTAATGTGATACAAAATACAAAACATATCCCATTTAGTGTGTATGTACGTAGTTATGGAACACGCAGGAAACAATAAGCTTAATTAATGATCGATATAGCAACCTTATACAAGATTGATTATTGACGCACAGTTGAGTCCTTAAGGCAAAGCATTTGCTTCCAACTCAGAAAACAATAAGATTTTCTTTCAGGATACGAGTTGCTTCTTATCTTTGAATTTTATCGATTAAAACAACTTCGAAAGTTGTACTTCCAATCAAATTGAACATTTATAAGCTCTTCTCTTTCTTGTTTCTTCTAGTGCTTGTCGTCATGCTACACCCCTTTGGAGTTCGCCTCTACTTTTCAGAAGCTAAAGAAATTGCAGCTAATTGACGTATGGACTAAAGATACAGAACAGACTCCTGCACTTCACTTCTCCAAAGCTTCTCTCAGTTACGAGAGTTATATGAGTTGAGGTAAGTCATTTCCTGATGCTTCTCTCCATTATGAGAACTGATCTGATTATTAATATTCTCATGAACCTCATCAGGTAAGGGACATGCCTCAAGAAAACAATCTTCTGGCCACTTTGATCGATAGACGAAGTGTACGTGATGGTCGCAAGATGGAGCAAGCAATTGTTATTGGTTTCATTGGTAACTTAAATGAAGTAGAGATGGAGAAATTTCTAAGGCAGAAATTAAAGCTCGAGTTTTGAAGGGCATTGTACTAGACTTTCTCGGACTATACAAATGAAGTACCCTTTTTTTTAATTTTTGGCTTGATATTCAAGAAATTAGGATGAGAACAGTGTTGGAACGGGGTGTAGATCAAACCTCGACGAGGAGCTCCGGCGAGCTCGAGGGATGAGCGTGGACGTCAACTCAGGTGAAGTCGACGGCGAACTCCAGGCGCAGTTTCAGGTGAAGCTCGAGCAGGCGAGCTCGAATCTTGGCGTTCCCGACCACGGCGTGTGGGCATCGCGACCTTGGCGTTTCTGATTCCGACCCTCGCGTTTTTGGCACTCCGACCCTCGCGTCTTGGCATTCCGACCCTCGCGTCGAGCTTGTGCGCTCGCGTGGCTGGCGGCAGGCTGTCGCCAGCCTGTCATGTTCGCCTATAAAAGCAGCCCCCCTCGATGCCCTAGGTTTTTGCTTTTTCCCCCTTCCCGGCTTCTTCTCTGGCGGCGGACAAAACGCAGCTGCGTTTCCCTTTTTCTTCTGCTCTTCGGCCCTGAAATCGCAACAGCGATTTTGATTGTTTAATCTCCAGCTTTCAACGGTGTTTGAGGGGAGATTTAAGAAGAGAGAGAGAATTAAAGATGAGACTTATTGTGGGATATTCTTTATTCTCAAAAGAGAATTGAAAGGGATTATTCCCTTTAATTATTAACACTGTAGCTACAGTGTTTGTATTGAGAGATCTCAGTTTGGGATCTGCTCTTGAATTGTAATTTCTTGTTAAATTAATAAGAAATTGACTGTGTGGCTCTCGAGGACGTAGGCAGTTGCCGAACTCGTAAATCTTGTGTACTTTTCTCTATACCGCATTTCTGCTGTTTTAGGGGTTTTGCATAGACCCAGCAGGTAGTATTCCCAACAAACAGTTGTAAATAAATTTGATTTGCATTTGGCTCAGGAGTTGTGAGGAGATCGATTTCTTAATTTAGAAGTTTTTTGAAATCATATTACCTTTACATTCTGATTATTTGCTGAATAATTGATGTTCTTAAGTTGTGGTTGTGCTTTATTTGTTTTTTGGACAAATTTTTGAAAACAACCCTTTTGCAAAATTAATGAGCAAAATCGACCTTCTCACCAAAATAGCAAAATCGACTCTTTTCATCACAACTCAGATGAAAATGGTCAATTTTGCTGTGGTTGTTTTTTCGAACTACACGGGACTACTAGTCCGTCCCGTGTAGTTAAGATCTAAGATTAACATGTCAAACCAAATGGACAGGACTAGTAGTCCCATCCATTTGGAATATATAAGCCTAAACCCATTCGTGACCCTCCCCTCCCCTCTTTCCTTACCTCAGATCTCGCGACCGCCTCCACGAATTTGGCCCTCGATCGGGCCGTCCTCCGGGGCCGAGGGAATCAGCCGAAAGGCCAAGGGGTAGGCTAGAATGACCGAGTGCTCGAAGTCGTCGGGCAGGCTGAGGTCGCACTGAGCGACCAGAATGTGTTCGAGCTAGAGACGACGCCACGGGGTGGCGAGGAGGAGCAGCTTCTTGAGTGTAAGGACTGAGTCCGCGAGATTGGACTTGATGGCGTCAAACTCTCGTCGGATTTGGGAGAGGGCGGCAAGGGTGAGGCGGGCCCAAAACTGGCGGAGAGGGGGAGAGGGAGTTGAGGGTGAAGAGGAGGAGGGAGGAGTTGGGGTGGGAGAGGATTAGTGCTTGGAGTTTGAGGGCAACACGAGTCTTCTTCTCCATGTTCATGATTGAGTCGAAGGAGTGGTCACGGACACGCTGGATTAGCCTGCCTTAACTACACAGGACTAGTAGTCCCGTGTAGTTCGAAAAACCTGCTACAACAAAATCGACATTTTTCATCAAGGGTTGATTTTGCTGTTTTCTTTTTGGAGAAGATCGATTTTGCTCATTAACTTTACAAAATGGTTGTTTTCAAAAAACTGTCCTTATTTTTTTGTTTATTTATTTTATTTATTTATTTGTGGTAATTGAAAATTTTCATTTATCATTTGAAAAAATATGTACGCTGTCAACCTAGGCATTCCTAGGGTTACAATCACTGTATAAACAACAACGTTACGGCTATTACAACCTCATCTCTCTACATATGAATCCTCAAGACAATACATAGACAAAATCTACCCTCTACAGTCTATAAATATTGTTCAATCCAGTTTTTAACTTGAGGAGGCACCTGCTTCTTTATCACTCTAGCAATAATATTTGTTTTAATCCTTCTTAACACTTACTGCTGCTCTTGGGCATACTAATCTTAAAATTCGGCTCTGCGAAGAGTGTATAGTACAATGCAGACTCGCTTAAACCTTGGGTCCTCAAAAGCATTAGGTTTTAACTTTCAAGAAGTTCTTGATGTAGAACACACGACAGACATATTTATATGGAAGCGGGACAAACACAAGCCCAAACGCGGACCCGGTCGAGAAAAATAATTTTTCGCGAAGAACATGTCATAACTTTCAAAGCGTAAGTCGGAATTGGACGAATTATATATAAAAATCGTGTATTTTTTGGACGAATTATATATGAAAATGGCGTATTTTTTCGAGACGGGGGCAACCAAACCCACCGAAGTTCGGTTTGTCACCGTCTATTTTGCCAAATTCCCTCCAGATTGAGAGGTTTTAGCATTTTGTCAGTTTTTTACTAATTTTGGTAATGTTTTAGGAGTCTGTTTTGATTAGGAAGCAAATCCGGTTTGATCCCAAACTTGACCGATTTACTTCCCTAATCTTAAGGAGTCTTTTTAGGAAGAGTTTTGTTATTTCTATTTTTGGTAAAGTTTGAGTCATAGTAGGAGTCTTGTTTCTTTTCTATTTAAGCAGAGTATTGTAAGCCCTAGAAGCATCTCTTTTCATTAAAAAATTTCTCTTTCAATATTTTCTTTGTGGATTCGAACTTCTTCATGGATTCGGAGATCATTCTTTGTGGATTCAGAGAACACCCTTGGTGGATTCCGAGGTTTTTACTTCCGCGCTGCGTCAGCTCTTAATTCAATAATAACTGCTAGATTAAAATTTGATACATACATTAGATAAGTTCATGATTTTACCATTAAAAAAATACAAATTTCCTCAGTACTCTTTTTCCTACTTCAACTTTTATTTTCACTGAAAGAAACATTCTATTTCCTGGAAATAATTCACTGCCAAATCCGAAGGCAATTTGAATAATAGAAGCACAGTATATGAACTTGATGCTCAGTCATGCACCCGCAACCTGTGAAGCAGGGATCAGCATTCAGAAAGAAGCAATCATTTATTGTTAAACAGTAGCAAGTCAAGAAACAAAAGGGTGGAAATTTTAACATTTTAAAATAGCAGAAAATGTTAGTGTAAGAAGATTTCAATTCACTTGCATGATCCTATGCATCAGGAAAATGATAAACAAGTTCAAAAATGAATTTACGATGAACAAAGAGATCGCATCATTAGCGCTTCATCAAACCTGCTCCCTTGTCAAAACTCAGAAGTTGTGCTCTCTGTACAAGCTGAGCCAAGTCCTACTGATGAAAATATAGCAAAAGGGGCAGCTCTCATGGTTCACGTTAGCGCGCGATCTGAGGATTGCTAACGTGCGCCGCTGCCGTGAAAATAATGGCAAAGAAGAAGAAAAATAGCGGGAAGAAGCTCCTGAATATTGGTCTCAGAGCCTCAAATCTGAGTTTGATTTCTCCTGGGGATCAAATTGATGCCAGTTTCGATGAAGATGATGAGGAATCTACTTTTGTCGACATGGGATCCACTGGTCCACGAGGTGAGAAGATGAAGAAATCTATGGCAGAGATTCTTGATTCTCTGAATTCTCAGTCCTCTCCGGTGGTGAATGGGGCTCAGACTTCTCAGGTGGTGAATGGTGCTCCTCCAGTGATGAGAGGTTTCCAAAATCGTTTTCTAAGTAAGTCTCCCCTCTCTCGAAATGCATCATCTAGTTCTAATAGAGTATCCTGGGCTGATATAATCGAACTGGGAATGGATCCTAATTCATCTCCTTCTAGAGATCCTAAGGAAGTATCAAGTTCTGCTGAGGGATTACCAGCTGGAACTGTTCCATTGAATGATAAACTTGAATCGGTAGCAAATGTTGAAGAGGGTAATATAATCAAGGATAATATAGCTCTCCCTCTTGAAGAATCAACAAGAGATGCTAATAAATTGGATCAGACTAAAAATCCTCAGAAAAGTTGGGTTAGCTTATTTTCAGATAACAGGAAACTCGGCAGTGGTTTAGATCTGAGCTATGTCCCCTCTGAAAATAAGGATTCTGTTTGTTTCAGTGATGAGGAATGGAACGAAGGGAGTTCTTTATGGAAATTCTCACTAGTTGGTCAGGTGTTGGGTCTGAATGTTAAATTCAAAGCCATGGAGAATTATGTGCAAAAAGCTTGGGCTCAAAAAGCTATTCCTGATGTTTGTCTCCTTAGAGCTGGGTTTTTCCTCTTTAATTTCAAAAATAAAGAGGATATGAATGAAATTCTCATGTATGGTCCCTGGTTTTTTGGCTCCAGGCCGCTACTACTGAAACCTTGGACAGTTGGAGATGATTTAGAAAAAGTCAGTGAATGCCTCTACCCTATGTGGATCCAATTGCCTGCATTAAAGCTAAACCTTTGGAATGAAAAGGGAATTAGCAAAATTACTAGTGTCATAGGGCGGCCTATCACTACAGACAAATTAACAGCTAATAGACAAAGGCTTGCCTATGCTAGAGTGCTCTTGGAAGTTAAAATGCCAGCCCCTTTGCCTGATCAGATTCTAATTCAAGGGCCAAATGGAAAACAATATAACCAAAAGGTTATCTATGAATTGAAGCCAAGATGGTGTGATTATTGCAAACAAGTGGGGCATGATTCTAAAGTCTGTAGGAGGCACTCTGTTACTCAAAAATGGATTCCAAAGATAAATTTAAATCATCCAGTAACCAATGCTGGTAATTTGAATAAACAGGATAATAGCTGCCCTCATGATCAAACTATGCTGGGAAATTTTGAGAAGGAAAAGCAAGTAATGGTAGATG